ATGGAAACTGTTGGTTTTACCAACATTTCCAACAATTTCCCTGATTTTCCGAACTATGGCTCTGGCTCACGGGGTTTCAAAATCATGGATATTGTTGGTTTTACCAACATTTTTCCCGAGCCAATCATGGAAAGTGTTGGTTTTTTCCAACAATTTCCATGATTTTCCAAACTATGGCTCCGGCTCAAGAGGTTTCTCGAAATTCATGGAAATTGTTGGAATTGTTGGTTTTACCAACATTTTCCGTCATGGAAATTGTTGGTTTTACCAACAATTTCCATGATTTTCCAATCTATGGCTCTTTCTCACGAGGTCTCTCGCAATTCATGGAAATTGTTGGAATTGTGGAAAGCGCGACTGCAGATTGTGGTCCCGGATAGCACCGGGTATGCGCGAGTATGCGCAGGTATGCACGGGTATGCGCGAGTATCATGAGCGAGTGTGCCCGGGTACGTGCGCGAGTATGCGCGGGTATGCGCGGGTATGCGCGAGTATGAGCGAGTGTGCCCGGGTACGTGCGCGAGTATGCGCACATGTGCGCGAGTATGCGCGAGTATGCACGAGTATGCGCGGGTATGCGCGAGTACCCACTGTGCGCGGGTGTGCGCGAGTATGTGCGAGTATGCGCGGGTATGGGCGAGATTGGGCGAGTATGCGTGGGTATGCGCGAGTATGCGCGGGTATGCGCGGGTATTCTCGGGTACTCGAGCGCACTCGAGCGCACTCGAGCGTACTCCAGCGTACTCGAGCGTACTCGAGCGTACTCGAGCGTACTCTCGAGCATACTCGAGCATACTCGAGCATACGTATACTCGAGCGTACTCGAGCATACTCGAGCGTAGTATGCGCGAGTACTCGGAGTGTAGTCGCCCATCGCGTCCGCAATGGGTTTCATCAACATTTTTCGTGACCCAATCACGGAAAGTGTTGGTGTTACCACCAACAATTTCCACGATACCAATTGTTTCTGCTTTCGGGGCAGCCCAAAGAAACTTGTAATGCTCATAACGCTCACCCGCGCCGCTTCCAAAGACCCTACTGATGCTCATGATGCTCGCTGTTTGAGCGGCCCCAAAAGCAAGAACAGTTGCCTGAATTGTAAAAACATTGTAAAGAAGCATCAAGGAAAATGTTTTGCAACCCCGCTGACGGTAGATGACGACGTACTGCTTCTGTCCCGGCTAACTGAGTGCGCCAAGCTGCGTACGCATGCGAGACTGCAAAGAGTGTGCTTGCCAACTTCGCACCGGGGTAAGGATATGAGTTGACGCACAGACATGTCGACCTGATTTCTCCCGAGCAATTGCCTGCATACTCACGTCCGTACTGGAGCATTCTTGTGCTCTGGTTCAGTATGGCTGGTCGGGGTGGCGAGGTGTCCATCGAGGTTGGTATCGAGGCCGCCAAGGGTATGTATCTGTCCAAACCCCTTCCTTGTCCATCACGGTCAGACCAGGCTTCTGGCGGTATGTCTATCATGGACTTGCCCCTGCAAGACTTGCCAGGCTGCCACTTGACCAGGCGATGTTGAAACATTTCGTGGATGTGATTGCGGATGTTCCCCCTTCCCGACAAAACTGCAATCGAAAATGCCACCAATGCTGGCACATGGGGTAGAGACAAGCTTCCGGTACCGTTTTGCTGTAAAGCTGACATGGAACTCAAACTATACTCAAACTGATCACTCAGTTCGTTGTTTTGGACTAGCCCAACGGCAAAGTCACGGTCATGAAGCATAGGCAGGCATAGTCCACTGTAAAAAGAGAGTGAAGGTGCAGGGCAAGTGGCGGTGGCAACAGCCCCACTACGTCCGTCTCGTTAAGCACAAACTGCCCGGCAGCAAAGGAAAGACGTTGACTGTAAAGTCAGGCACGCAGATCGCGTCAACCGCATACCAAAGCTGGCAGTGCTTTGTTGCGAGCCATATTGAGATCTGCACAGTATAATTACTGGCATTGCGATATGGACATGTGGGTGGCCATGGGGAAGCTATGCTCCCATGCCATGAAAAGTTTTTGCCTTAGCCTGCTTCAGTAGGCCAGCCCTGCCATACGGCCGCAGTTTTGTCATACTCGTTCATGTCGGCTCTTCATGTCCAGTGCCATCGTTGTCAAAGCATCTTGTGCCTATGCATGCTTGCTTCCTTCTGCGTGTGCGCTGGCAGCCTTATCTATTCGATTTCATGCTGGCTCATGATGCTCAAACAAACATGCGGTTAATGTTTGGCACCGACATCTGGCGCAACATCCGCGATTCATGGTTGACTCATGTTTGCTAGACAAGACCACATAGCTTAAGCCAAACAAGAGCATAAACACGAAAGCAACCATGCAGGTTTCGTTTGACACAAATTGTTGAGACAACATCCACGGGACCCCACAATAAGCAATGCATAAAGTTTCTTGGCTTCGTGTGTCGAGGGCTGCGGTGCATCAGGCATCCGTGTTATGCCGAAAGCTTGACTTGCTGCTGAGATGATGTGACCTCCCCCCAATCAGCAATGCATAAAGTTTCTTGGCTTCGTGTGTCGAGGGCTTGGGTGCATGTGACATCCGTGCTATGCTGAGAGGCTTGACTTGCTGCTGACATGACCGTCCTCAGAACGGTCTCAGTCTGAGCAGTATGCTCACAATCGCGGCCATGCTGCCAAGCATCATTCATTCACACATAAGCCCGCTTAGCAACACATAAGCATCAACACGAAAACCTCGGTACCTGAGGGGGGTAGCATATATGTTATAGTGTATGTTAATTACATATGGCATGCTATTGTGTGTATTCAATTTTGGAACAACGTGCAGCAGCCTACGTAGATTTTCCTGGACACCCTTTCCAATCTGTCCTCGCACCCCTCGGTGTGGCTTCAGGCGTTTATGTTCGCTTTGCGCCATACTCTGCATACGCCACTGTACCGGCAAAGCTCGAACATTCCGACGACATCTTACCCTACTTGTGGCATGTGCTGTGCAAATGAGGGCACCTTGCCAGGACTTTGCAAGAAGCTGCTGTACGGAATTCGCCGCATCGTGCCGGCAACCACAATGCAAGGGCGTGTCGCCTGGTACGCGATGAAGAAACGATCAGCATATCACAAACTGTGGCAGGCTGGAGAGATCCCACGTGAGTCAGCGGCCCTTGTATGTCTTGGCCAGGGCGTCTGCACGGTATTCGAGCAGGATACCCACCACCTGCGAACATATTCCCGTGGTGTGGCATGTCTGGACAAACGACGAGAACGGGAAAGCTAGAGTCTTGTCATGCCCTGTTCGCGCTCCAGAACTATGAACTTAGACACACACTTCGTGGTCTAAGCATATCCGAACATAGTTACAGGAAACATACAGCCGATTTTTCATGACCGCATCCGGGACAACTTAGTGTCTTTGCGGGCTATGCAGAATTCGATGCAGATTGAAAGCTTCGCAGCTCCGTGGACAAGCGCTCCACCTCCGCTGCAAAAATCCCGCGCTCGGTGCCCATGAAACCTTCCAGCCGCTGGAGGCGCTCAAGCGTCTGCTGCAGGGCTTTTCCATTTTCAGCCGGCGCAGCATCCACGGTGCCCCGCAATGCATGGATTTCAGCCTCCTTTTGCAACTGCATCTGGCGTTGAGTCGAAAGCAGGTCCTCGAGCTTGCTCTTGCTCTTGAGTGCCTTGTCCCTCTGCAGCTTCCCATCTGCGAGGTGGCCACGGGCCTCCTCCAGGTCGTGCTGCAAGGACTGCACCTCTGCTCTTAGGGCGTCCGCCTGTGCCGCTACCGCTGCGGCGCTCAAGACGGCGTCGTTGATGGCAACCTGCTGCGAGCTGGCCGCCAGCCGCAGCCGTGAACTCTCCACCCGTAGCTCTTCCGAGGCAAACTCTTGCATCTCCAGGACATGCGTGGCATCGCTCATCTTTGCACGCAGGACTGCTAGCTCAGAATGACCGCTTTGGAGCTGAGATCCGGCCAAATCCTCCGTGTGGAGCAAACCTTCCAAGGATTGCTTCAAGCCGCTCACTTCTTCCAAAGAGTTCTCCACCTGCTTGGACATTTCAGAGACTGCCACTTCTTTTCGCTGTCGCTCATCAATGGCCTCCTGATAAGCTCGAAGCACGGTATCCCGCAAAAACTCATGCCCACGTAGCTCCTGCATCATGGGAAGCTGTTGCGAATCTTGCTCCTCGAGCGCATGGGCCAAGCGATCGCGGTGGCTCTTACACCGCTGCAACTGCTCATGGAGGAGCTGGTTCTCTGCGGTCATGTGCATCAGATCATCCAGAGCAAGCGTCACCTCATGCATGCGCTCCGAGAGCTCGCTTTGCGCTGAATGAACCTCCGTCTCCACAGTTCGTATCACATCGCTCGTGGCCGCTGCGGTTGTCGTTGAATTCACGAGCTCGCCATGTTGGGAAGCGACCCGGTGGCGCAGTCTATCCAAGGTCCACTGGACTTCGCCTCGCTGGCTTCTGACCCGTGCAGCTTCCGCACGCAAGGGTCGAAGCCTGACTTCGGCCCTGTCACTGATCTGCAGAAGCTCCGCCTGGTCCGCCTCTAAGCCAGCAATGGTGCCACGCAGACGGCGGGACTCTTCTTCCAGCTCCTCGAGACGCATCCGCACCGAGCCAGGCCCATGTTTTGTGGCAGCAGAGCGACTTTCCTCCTCTGCCATCTCCGCCAAGCACTCAGCCAACTCGGCCTCAAAGCTGTGCCGCTCTTCGGCGAGTGCTGCCCGCTGTCGATCTCGCGAAGCCGCAGCCGCCTCAAGCTCATGCAGCACCTCTTCCATCTGGCTTTCCGAGTCCGAGACTGCCTTGATCTGGCCCTGCAGTGCTTCCGCATGCGCCTCGGCAGCCTCGCCCTCGCGACGCGCAGCCCAGACGCTGGCCTGGCTTTCGGACTCTTCCCTCACCATCTCGCGAAGGGTGTCTTGGCGCTGTCCCAGCTCAAGCCTCAAAGCTGCAAGCTGCGCTGTGACCTCCGAAGTCGATGCCTCCTGGCTTCGAAGAGTGGATCCCAAGCTTGTCGTTTGAAGCTGTAAGCGTTTAATACTCGCTTCCTCCGACTGGCATTGGCCTCGGACCTCATCCAGCTCCTGTGCGGCCCGTGCCAGGGAAGACGATAGCTCACGGCAGCTTTGCTGGGCTTCCGCAAGCTCTGCCTGCTCTGCAGCCAAACGCTGCCCCAGCACCGCGGATGCCGAGGAAATCGCCTCCTCCTTTCGACGCGTCTCTGAGCGCTTGGCCTCTGCTTCTGAGGCACCTGTGCGTGCCGATTGCAGCTCTTTGGACAGACGAAGCTGTGCCTCCTGCCGTGCCTGCGCCGCCGAGCGCCAGGACGACTCTACCAGCCGTGCAGCCGCCACCTCCTCGGAAGCTGCCAAGCGCTCGCTCGTGGCCGTCTCCAAGTAGACCTGCAGAGCATCCGCCTCGCTTTGAGCGCCCTGGAGCACCTCCGAGAGCAGGCGTCGCTGGGCATCTTCCATCAAGGCCTCTTCGGCCGTCGCCGAAGCAGCACGTTGGGAGGCCTCCACCTCCGCCGTTGCAGTGGCGAGAAGACGTCGCTGCACCACTTCGTGTGCCCGAAGCCTTGCAAGCTCTGCTGCCAGGCCGGCACGCTGCGAAGAGCCTTTGGCAGCATGCTGCACAGCGGTCCGATGCGCCGTCTCCAACGAGACAATCTTCTGAGCCGGCCTGCTCTGCTCTGCTGCAGCCAGCTCCTCGAGAAGCTGGCTCTGTTGAATGGCGTGCTCTTTGGCTTCCGCTTGACCTCTCGCTTCTTCGGCCTCGAGGCTTCCTCGCAGCATGGCCAAAGCCTCACGGATGGCAACCTCCTCAGACTTGGTCTTCGAAGAGGCTCGCCGTGCCTCGTCGAGGTCGCTGGTGAGGCCGGCAACTGCCGGATCCGATGTTCCGAGCTCCAGCCGGGTCGCCGCTTCTTTGGCCACATCCCGCTGTTGCTGCGCTTGTTGCAAGAGGCCTCGTCGTTGCGCTATCAAGGCCTCGGCCGCATCGGCCTCGGTGCTGAGACGAAGCCCGCGCTGCCTCAGAGCGGTGCACTCGGTTTCCAGCTCTGCCAACTCCGCGGCAGCACGTGCTTCTTCTTCACGCAGCACTTTGACCTCGTCGGTGACATCGTCGGGATTATCGGAAGGCCCCTCCCGCTCAGCAGCACGTGCTCGGGCCCTGCTGAGTTCCTCTGCAGCGGCTTCTTCTTTGGCCTCTGCAGCCTTCAGCGAACGGACCTCCTCTGTCAGGCGTCGACGTGACTCACCGAGCTGCTCGGCGACAAAAGCCACGTGGCTCGCAAGAGCGGGGGCCTCAGCTCGCGGACCCTCGATGCGACCGACATCCACGTGTCTCGGCCGCGCCCCTGGCGCAGGAGGGGGACCTCTCATCACGATGGTCCTGGACTTTCCACTGCGGTCATCTCTGGAGGTCTTCCTGATCTCTGCCATCCGAGATCTCAGACGCTCCACGGAGCCTTGGAGTTCTTGGCTCTGATTTGCCTGCAAATGTTGCAAGCTTCGTAGCCTTCGCAGCTCCTTCTCGTTGGCGGTCTGCCGGGCAGCCCACTGCCGCCGTCTTGCAGCCGTCTCCGTACTTTCCTTGAGCACTCGCTTGTGAAGCTCCACATTTTCACGCAGAAGCTCCGGCTGTTCCTTTTGCAGAACACTGAGCTCGTCTTCCACCTCCTCGATCTGGCGCTCATGACCCTTCACATCGTTCTCCAAGAGCCGGAAGGAATCTGCAGACTTCAGGAGGTCTTCCAGCAACTTCTCGACGAGAGTCAGAGAAACCTCTCCAAGCGGCTGCGTGTAGTTCAAGCGATTCAGCTTTGAGCGGACATCCTCAAAACGAGCAGCATCGGAAGCTGGTGGGCGAGCCATGCTCTGCGTGGTCCCCCAAGTTCGGGCTGTAGGCGTAGGGATAGTGTACTTAGTTTCCCCAGACAATGGTCTCGCTTCAGGGGTCTTTGGTCCAGCGGCTGCTCTCTAACTTCCCGCGCTGGGGCTACCGCTGCTTCAGGTTCCGGACAGACGAGGCTTCTACACGAAGCCCAGCTTAGGGTTTCCCGTGCAAACCTAGATTGACCGTGGGTACGACATCAACCCGGCAACTAAACTTGAGCCATACATGGCCTTGCGAAAAGCAGAATATGCTGGGATTTACCCTGTCGCGGACGCATGCAATCTGCAGCAGCCTGCTGGGGCACACTGCACCGTACAAGGAAACATCGCTTGACTCTTTGAGGGGTAGAATGACGTAGAGGGTGAGCAGATGTGAGCAGTAGCCTCCCACTGCAGGTACGACTGACATCAGGCGATGGCCTCTCCATGATCGTTCCCTGCTGCGAAATGCAACGGCGTCCAGCGCTCGAGATCGGAATGTCGGAGCAAAAGCCTGGCTTTTGCAACCGCTGGCAGCATTTTTGGTTCGAAGAGGACCCGAACCCATCTGAGCTGCCTGATATTTGTCTGGCTGGCCTCCAGAATTTCCGCAGCCTGCTTGGCCAAGACATGTAACTCTTCTGGTCAACGCAGGCTCAAGAGCCAAATCCGGCTGACTGCTTTCCATGCTTCGGGCACTACAAGCAGCAGAACACTGGGCCTTGGAGAGATCCCCGTCCCTCGCCGCATCCAGGAGCTCGTCCAGGTCGCAAGCATCCCCCATGCATCGGCCATGCGACTATCTGCATGTCACATGAACTGATCATCGCGTGTAAAGAGCAGCTTCTCTAAGGCTGCCTCACCTTCATTTAGCTGCGGGAGTTGCTCGGAGTCAGCATGTGAGTTTGCAGGTTGCTGCACTGCTTGCAAAGACACAAAAACGGCGGCAGCCTTGCACAGCAGCATTCTCGTCAAATCGGAATGCTGAGTCCGGCCTGCATACCCTTGTCGATCTTATCCACTGGAAAAGACATCTTTGAAATCCCCCAGGCAGCATTGCACAGTTCCAGCATCTTGAACCTGCGCACCATCGAACCGCAGCAGCAGTGTTGTGAAATATGTATGTGATATGTCCTTTGCCTATCCGCAGTCTTCTCGACACGACTCACCACCATTTCCAAGAGCTTCTCATCCTGCACCTTGCGCAATGCAAATGCAGGCTGCGTTACAGCAATCATCACTGTCTGTTGAACTGGCCGTCTGGGATCCCCTGCCGCAAGCTTCCCGAAAGCGTAGAGGAGGTTCGCGCAGCCTCGGCCAAAGGAGCTGAATATTGCAGTTGCAGTAGCACATCAACCTGCAGTAGACCTTCTGGGTGTCAAAACGATTGTTGAGGCTGTGGCACTGCGGATCGAATCTGGCGATCTTTCGTTGAGACTCGGCTGCAATTGCCTGATGCATGAAGTGGGTCGAGTCTACAAGGCAGGGGGGTGGGCATCACACCGCAAGACCGCAGGCAGAAAGGCTGCGGGCTGCCTGGAACATACTCTCCTCTGTGCGGGCCAAGGTGGCAAAAGCCTGATCGAGACTTCGAGGCTTATGGCGGATTCATCCGGGCATCAGAAATCGCCAATTTCACGCTGCTACAGTAAGGCCCCAGCCCATGCTGTGATGGCCAGGTTCTGCGGCTCAAACCTCGGGTCCGGGAAGAGGATTCAGCCCGCAAGCTACTAGCTGTGGTGATGCGGGGCTTTGTGAGGCCTCTTTGGGTGCATCTCCGATACCGCGCGAGAGCCTGGGCCACTGGCTCTGGGAGTTTCCTCACGACCTCCTTGGCTACGGCCTCCAGGCACAGTGATGTCACAGCACACTCTGGTAAGACAAAGTGCCACGATCACAAACAACCATCCCGTACCTGCCTCGAACAACTCATCGTTTTGAACGCTGAGCTTCGCAAAGGCCCAGGAGACATTGGCCAAGTCCTGTCGCGACGCCGTGACCCTAGTCAAGATGTGCTTGTGCAACTGAAATGACCTGGCCTGGTATCCCATGTTCGGGAGCTTCATGAGGATATCCTTCCTTGGTGGACCAGGGCTTCCGATGCAGCTCCGCTCCGACATGACACCTGGCGATCACCTGTGAGAGCGAAACCCGAAAATTCCGTCGACAATGAGTTGCACACGCCAGCTTCTGGAGGAAGTGCTCGTTGAGGTGCTCCGCGCTAGCACAGCACCATGCTGCAACCTGCAATTCAGGCTCCAGAGTCTCCCTCGGTGGATACACCACCAAGAATTTCAGTCCTGAAGAATCTAACTAAAGGCAAAAAGCCCGCGAGTGCATGTCGATTAAGGAAGCATCGCATCACAGTCCACTCAAGTTAATTACTCGAGCTTTGAGTGACTGGGCCTTAGGCTGTGAAGGACACATGCCCGACGACATGTTGAAGGACATCCCGCACCGTGAGGTCACCAGCTGCCAGATCGCGGCGGGGCAGCTCAGACGTGAAGCGAGCCTTGCTGCAGAACTAGTGCCAAAGATGATTTTTGAGAGCAGAGGAGAGCGCAAGCAAGCTTCTTGTAAAGCTCATCTGCACCTAGCCGAGAACCTGTATTCCGTTGACATACCATCGGAGGAGATGAGGGCGTGCCGTCAACCATCTTTGCAGCACACGTGTCTCTGTTTTGGCCCCATGTCGCGAAGCGGGTGTGTGCAAAATCAACACGTGCTCTTTAAACACATGTCCTTGTCGAAGCAATTCGTGCAATAGGTCCTACCGCCACGGCGAGGCGGGGAAAACAGCAAGGCGTAACTGGCCGCACTGGCCTAACTATCAAACAAAGGGTTCTTGGCTGCCGGGCGCTTCGGCTGTCCCTCCTCAAAAAGCGACGATCGCGGTGGCGCAGACCCAGCACCAAAGAGGCTCGTGGCTCCTGCTGGCTTCGGGGCTGGGGCCGGAACTGAGACAGCCGGCTTGGCAGAGGGCATCGAGGGCATGGTGGAGACGGGTACTGCAGGGCCTGCGCCTGCGGCTGCAGCTGGCATGGGTTTGGGGGGAGCGGGAGAGGGGGCTGTGGGGCTGGACGCTGCCTCGTCCTCTGCCTCAAAGGCGATGGCTGCGAGAGTTGGGTCTCTCGTCAAGACGGAGCTTGCTTTCATCAAGACCTGCAGCTGGTTGTTCAATGTGCGCCTCTCTTCAACTATGTGGGGAGGCTCTCCGAGGAGCTCGGACAACTTGTCCGGGTGATTCAAGGCATTCAGAAGCTCAAACTGCAGCTTGTCCTGCACCGCCCTGACGAGGTAGAAGCCAATCGCCTTTGGAATGGAATCTCTGATGTTTCTCACCGTAAGCTCGAAGTAGGAATCCAACCGCTTTCGAATCTCAGCAACGAAAGGCCCGCTGTACCGCTGCTGCTTTCTTTGGGCCTCGGTCTTCCTCAGCATGGAGCTAACTGTGCTGCTCACACTTTGATACCCCTGCTTCGTAGCGTCTTTCATTTTGTCTGCCATTCCCGGCTCTTTCTTTTCCTCCTCAACTGGAGGCGGTGGCTTCTGCTGCTGTTGCTCGTACATAGGCTCCATGGAGCCATGGTTGGTCAGGTAGCTCGGATCGTTTGTGAAGAGGTAGCCAATGGAGCATGCAATCTGCTCTTCCACAATCCGGCGAGTCTCATCCTTCTGCTCTTGAATGATGTTCTGTGTCAGGTTCAAGACAGACTCTGCCATCTTGGGGAACCGGCGAAAAACTGCATGTGCCATGCGCTGCGACAGTACATCCAGTGCTGCGGAAATGTTGTGCACGCATTCCACGGACGGAATCGCGAGCTTTTGCAGGTGTGGCAGAGCCAAGAACTCGAAGGTGTCTGGCGATGGAAATCCTGGCAATGCATCGCCCTCATGCAGGCGAATTGCCTTGTCAATGTCGTCATCGGACATGTCAGCCGTGATCTTTGTCTCCATGAAGTCTATCAGAAAATCGTTCATGATGCTGCGAATCTTCGCGCCACCCGAACCTCCCTGTGCACCACCCCCGGTGAGGTTGCACATGTATCGCTGCAGCTTGCGGTCATACTTGCCTCTGATGGTGTTCTTGAACATCTCACAATAGTCTGTGACCAAAGTCCACATCACCTGGACCCTCTCTGCGGTTTCAAGCGGCACTCCCTCTCCAAGTTCGTCCAAGCGATCTTGGACAGATCTCCGCTTTTCGTTGATCTCTTTCTTGATTTCGGGCAGAAACCTTCGAATATGCTTGAAGAGAATCTGCGTCAGTTTGTCGATCAAGACGGGGGTCCCGATCATGCCTGGCGGCAGCTTGCTGTAGATGCGGTGATTGTCAAACCACTCTTTCTCGTCTTTAAGGGAATCCTTGACTGGCTTCTTGTTCACAATGTCTTGCTGGCTACGCATCTTTACCCCGACATAGCCAAGGCGTAGAGGCACATCCTCACCTCTTAGCATGGTTGCCGCATCCGTTCCTTGATCCATGATGTCGATCTTGGTGATGACGCCGATAGATCTCAGGCCCTGTGGGTCTACCTGACGGGCCAGCTGGAGACTGTCCGAAACGGACATGTCCTGATTGGCTGGCAGCACTGCCAGGACAATCGTGCGAGGATCGTTGATGTAGTGAAGCGTCATGTCCTTCGTCAGCTTCTCAACATCCTCTTTCTGGTCACTGCCCTTGACCGGCACTCTGGTAACCCCCGGCAAATCAATCAGTGTCAGGTCCGGTGCCCCTGTGGCATAGATCGTGAGGATGATGGGGTCATTGACGATCCCCTTGTTCGAGCCTGCGACTTGATCCGTCTGGCGCTCGATCTCTTGCCTGACCTCGTCAAAGTTGGTGAACTTCTTATCTCCGACCTTCGTTGAGCCCAGGGCTCGAGGAAGAGAGCATGCATCTACAACTTGTACAACCCTTCCCCATCTCTATTGCTATTGTATCTGGGCAGGGAGTCTCGACTCCCTTGCTACAACGAAAAGCTCTGCAAAACCTGCGGCCAAGCACCTTGTCAAAGACAGCCCAAGCCTTGTCTTCCGCGTACTCCTGCGAGTTCAAGTGCACAAGGCGCAACTCCAGAGGGCGTCGTGTGACAACCCCCCCTCCACGCGGCAGAAAGTCCAGGCCAACGATGGACTCAATGAGAGAACTCTTTCCTTGAGACGGCTGAGACTAGAAAGTAAATGGAAAGGACAACGATTGACAGCAATACTGATTCAACTGAAAGCCAGGACCATCCCAAAATGCTGCAGACCCGAGCTTCCACTGCTCTGAGTCCCGATTGCAGCTATCCGAGGAAGGCTGATGTAGTGCTGCAGGCCCACATCTCGCAGCTCATCTACCACGGTGATGAGCTGCCTCAGGTTCTCATAGATGGCAGACATGCTGGAGTTGCGCCGGCTGCCTCACGCAGGCCGGTGCTTGAGCCGACGAGCAGTTGCCACAGCTGCCCAACTTATGCAGGATGGGTGCTCATGCTGTGCTCAGGACTCATACGGGCTTCCAAGCCGAGTCGAGTGCCATGAGGTCGGCATCGGCACAGCTGAGCTTAGCAAAGGCCCAGGTGGTGTTCATCACCTGTGTGTGCAGAAGAGGCGCATCTACGTCGGCATCTGGGCATCAGCGAAACGATCTGAATCGCCACGGCACGTTCTGCAACTGGAACTGGCTCATTCGCGACATAAGCTGTGCTTTCAGCACAGACCTCGGCAAAACTTCTCCGTTGGTTGACTTGCATATTTCTATCTCCTGCTGCGAAGTACAATCGAACTTCTTCCTTGCGAGCGAAAAGGTGGCTTGGACGCGCAGTGGAGCACAGCATTGCTACTGTCGCAGTCCCACTGCAGACTGACGGATCTAAGCGTTCAAACCCAGTCAGCCCAGCAGCTGCTTTCAGCACTAAGGGCACCAGACAGACTGCGCAAACAGGATCTGAGGCATGCCCCGAATCTAGCAACAGCTTATCTAGCGTAGCTTGCCGTCGGATCTCTAATCTAGTACCACTTTCGCGGGGAGGGAGTTGCCTCACATCCTAAGCATCATTTTCCTACAGCGCCATTCCGATAGGTTCGCAGACGAGCTGCAGAATGCCAGAATCCAACCCGATTCGTTTTGGAACAGACTCAGCTGCTGAGCAACGATCCGGGCCTCGCAGCTGCCTTGAAGCTTCTCTTCTGCGAGCTAGTCTCTGAACCCATGGGCCGAGAAATCCCGGCATTAGGTGTGGCGAATTTCTGCGGACCCAAAAGGCTCCTTTAAGACCGCGTCCCTAAGGACGGTCCTTAAAAGATCAGCCGTCCTTGACTGTCCACCTGCCAATCCTCGGCCAGAAATGCTCCGAAAAACAAGCTACGCTGGAAAATCCGCCAGCTTGAGCCAGGGCACAGCCGGCCATTGAACTCGTGAGGCAGGGAGCTGCTGCTCCTCCTGAAGGCACAATGAAACTGAGCTCATTTACAGCTCCTCTAAACCCTAAACCCTAAACCCTAAACTCAAAAAAAATCCCTAATCTCTAAACCCTAAACCCTAAACCCTAATCCCTAATCCCTAAACCCTAATCCCTAAACCCTAAACCCTAATCTCTAAACCCTACACCCTTTTTGAACCCAGACTCTGCTGATCAAACCCTAAACCCTAAACCTTAATCCCTTATCTCTAAACCCTAAACCCTTTTTGAACCCAGACTCTGCTGATCAAACCCTAAACCCTATACCTTAATCCCTTATCTCTAAACCCTAAACCCTTTTGGAACCCAGACTCTGCTGATCAAACCCTAAACCCTAAACCCTAAACCCTACACTAGTGACCACTGTGTGTCCACGGTCGGCCTCCCATGGGCAGGCGGGAGCCTGAGCCCCTTCGGGCTGAACGGAAGATCTGCGCCTCGTTACAAAAAGAGAGGACCTGCAAAGGCAAAGCCAATATATTTTATATCATTATATATACATATATATATATATGTGCACATAGATAGATATATATATATACATACATACATACATACATACATACATACATGTATTTATTTGTTTGTTTTTTATATACCCGGCTCGGCTCCGGACTTCCACCGCTCGGCGCTGGTGGTCCGCCCAGGAGTTTCGGGGCGGCCAAACCTTGGCCAAGGCCCAAAAAAAAAACACGATCTCACCCTAAAAAAGGGGCCTTAATAATCAGAATAGGGTCTTGGGGGTTCCTTATTATAGTATAATAGATCCCGGCGCCTAAAGGCTCCTAGCATTTGGCCGAGCTGTGTCAGGAAGCGTCGGAGATGGAGCAGCGGCCGGCATGGTCCGGCGCCGCGCGGGCACCTCCTTGATCTCCCGGCTGAGGCTCTCCTGCCGCAAGCCCTTTCTCTGCTGAGGCATCCTGTTGCTCTTGCAGCCCACACCCTTCCTTATTGGTCAGAGACAGGGAAAAAAGCAAACTCAAACAAACAGATCCGTCTGTCCGAAACAGATCCGCCGCTCCTCTAAGGCTACGTGTAATACCTGGTATCTGCAGGAAAAGACTCGCGTGTGACACGAGTGGTCCACCGGCATTGCGCAACGATGCTGTTGCACAATGCACAGTCTTAGGCTGGAAGAAGTAGCTTACACTTGTCGGCTCGCCTCTGCAGCGCAATGACCAAAAACTGTTGGAAGGCGAGGCCTGGTTCGAGTGCAGGCCGGTCTCGGTCTGGCTGACAGGATTGGGTCCGGCAGAGATGCAGTATACCCCTCCCTGTCTTTCAAGGGCTTGGAGTTGCCCAGCAAGGTCCCTTGGCCCCTAGGGGACTGACGGCGACTCCGAGCACAGCTGAGCGTAGGGCATGAAGGAAAGTTTGCCCACCCCATGCTGAAGGTACATAGGGAAAAGGTTCTGAAACACGAGCCCTGGAGCGACAAACTACCAACATGCCTCACACCTCGTCGGGTCACCAGCCGGCTTTGGCCGGCCCGTACGACACTTGAAGTGCCCCAGAGTCACCGTCAAAGCCCAAACGACTGCCCTTGTGTGTCTTTCCTACACTGACAGACACGAATAAACGCTTCCCATAAGCTACAGCCAACACCTTTGCATTTGCCTATGTATGCATAGCTGTGGACATATGTCGGTGGTCTCCGGTATGTGGCCGTGCATGCAAGCAGCGGGACTTATTCTGAGAGTATGTACGAGCTCCACACCCCTCTTTGGAAGCTCGTCCTCTGCGGCTTGCCACGCGTCGAAGGGCTGCGAAGCTGACCCTGGCACCACTCGAGAGCCTCATCTGCATACACGCTGGCATCCATTGCTTATATACTTGTGACCCACGGTCTCATCAAACTCTGCGCGCCTGTCAGCTCCTGCGACTTCGCCCCGAGCCTGGCGCTGCGAGCTTCTGTCCGAAGAAGTGGACTTGGGCAGATTGGCGCTATCTTGTGCCGACCTAGATGCGACCAAAGTGGCACTTGTGATGCATAGCGCCTCATATCTGCAAGCCTCTCCATCTCCTGGTCCAAGCAGTGCACAAAGGCCCAAGATTGCATGACACGCATGCTCAGTCTGGCCCAAATTTCGGCAGCGATCTCACAGCATGTCGATACTTGCTGTTTGCAGGTTACGTGCAAAAAAGCAAGCATCAACATGTTCTGTGATTCTGGCAAGCTGACTTGAACACGCTGTCTGAAACGCCAGCTTGACGACACCAGCATTTTTTGTTATGAAGTCTGTAGCTTGATGTATTCTCCGCAAAAATGGCCAACAGTGCCGTCGCCTGCTCCAACTGCTCGAAGCTGGGTTCGGTCCGCGGGCTTCGGTCGTTCCGGCTCGACGGAAGCCTGGACTGCAGAGGCGTGTGCCGAAAGTCGACTCGCACAGAGATGGAGAAAGTCGCAACTAGCATGAGCAACCCGCAGGAATCTTCGCAAGCACGGCCCGATTTCAACAGCCAACCTGTGCGTTTGCTGAAGAGCACGCTTCTCGGCAGCGTCTCCTTAGATTGAGGAGCTTCATGCATTATCGTGTCCGTCTCTCCTGGGCTACGGACATTCTCACAAACAAACTCAGCTGTTATTCCCATCCAGTTCGCGACCATCCTCGTGCTTTACGGAGCGATACAAAGACGGACAATCTTCCGCAAAGGCTCTTTGGGGTGTGCTGGAACTTGCCGCGGATCTTGCAGGGCATCAGGCGAATCAAACATCAGCTCGCTTCAGACGGCACAGCCCGAGGGCCTGCTCTCTCCTCCCAGAGATGCGGATACCCGTCGAGCGATGGAGCCGATAGTCTGCAAGCTGAGCTCCTTCAGCAAACTATGCGCTGTCAATTCGACTCTCTCGCTGCTGAATCGTGCGTGGTTGCCAAAGCCTGACTTGAGCGAAGTGGCGGAGTCAGCCAGCTCGGCCCGCGAGATGTCGAAGACCTTCTTCTCGACTCGGATGGTTTCCTCTGGGCCGGGCATCTCGTACCTGAAAGCTGCTAAGATGTGCTCTTATGTCCACCGCCTCTTGGCTCCACTCCAAGCCGTCTTAGGGGGCTCCTTAAGGCTCTGGCTCCTGCTCTGGCTCCTCCGCTTCGAACTGCGACTGCGGGGACTGTGGCGCGCAGAGCTTGGCCACAGCCCCACGGAGCTGGCCCTCAAACTCCTGCATCACCTGTAACAAGGGGCCTTAATAATCAGAATAGGGTTTTGGGGCATATGATACTACAACTGCAATAAGGAACCCCTAAAATAGTATAAGGTAATTATTAAGGCCCCAAAACTACAGTGGACCATCGTCTCCCTGCGGTGCAGAGAAGCTCAGCGGAGCCAGGGGGCATTCTTGAAGATCCGGTGCTCCGTGGCTTCCAGTTGCTGCCGATTCCTCGCTAGGCCACAGGGAGAGAACATGGTCCTACTGTTGATGATATAAATCCCTAGCATTACCTCAAGGACCCTAAACTATGGGAATTATGGCATATTCCTTATTATGGGTAATGCAGGATTTATATCATCAACCGTAACAATGCTTGCCCGGCTTGCTCCCGAGCTTGCCGGCTGCTTGGGTCTGGATGTCGCTGAGCTGCTCTTCTCGGAAGCGCTGGCGAAGGTGCTCCTCACAGGCCTCGAGGTGCCTGATGAGCCGTTACTCGGCCACGATCACTTGGAGCGGATGAAATTCTGAAGATCCCGTTTGTTTCCAAGGAGTGGCTCCATGTGCAGGCGGTGAGATTTGCGAAATCTTACCAGCGACGTTTACATGCATGCTGCATGCTTGCATGTAGCGTTGCATGTAAACTATGTCGCACTGTGCTCTAACCACCGACCGCCTTCGCGTCTCATCACGCCAATGTCGCTCATAAGCCTCAGCCTGCCAGGAGCAGATGCCAGGAAGGGGCGATTTGACAGAGCAGTCGTCCGGCCTGTTGGCGGCCTTGATCCCGCACCCCCTTCAGGTCCTGCAAAGGCCACCAGGCTACAAGGCCAAAAGCTCCGTGCTCGCAGCCCAGGCTCCGCAAGGCTTTCTTCCCGGAAGCTCTGCAGTTGGCTCGCAAGCGAAGCCGTATCACGCCTCGGAATTCGGAGAATTGCGTCGCCTTAAGTTAGCCACCTCAAACTCCAGCTCTACGGGGCATCATCCTGCCCTGGCACACTAATCAAAAGGAAACTCTGCAGCCAGGGTTCTCGAGAGTCTCCAAACGCCGGCAGAGCTGTGAGAACTCTTCTGCTGTTGGCCCAGCCGGATTGGAGGGAGGACAACTTGAACGACACGCTGTCGTCCCCTCTGCTGGTCCCTGTGCGGGAGGTGAACAGTTCGGCAATGCTCCCCCCTCTCGGCAAACTCAGCCTTTTTTTGCAGTCACTTGGCCTCCTCGGTGTCCATTCCGCACTGTCTGACATCCGGTCTTGCAGCATGCGCCCAGTCAAGCTTAAACTCGATGGGTCATGCTTCAGGGCCGTCGGTCAAACAGGCCTTGCTGGGCTGCGTGAGGCACGGCGCTGCTCGGAATACCTCAGAGACGTAAATAACTTCACACATAGCACGAATATCCTCTAGGCAGGAGTATCATTGACTGGCGATACTGGTGAGACCACCGATGGCCAACGACAATCACAAAATTGCAACAAGGGCAAGAGTGACACCGCTGGCAAGCACAACGATAGTTACACTGAACAGTACCAAGGCCGCCAAGGCCAACAGTGATGCCAGTGATAGCGATGAGCATTCGCAGCATAAAGAAGGTGAGGCATCATCCCGACCCTGCCATGGTCACCTCTCGCCCATCAACTCTGGAGTCCTCATAAGCAACACCCCTTCGGCGAGGCACCTCCGCCGGGCCTGTCAAAGGAGCGCTTCTCAACATCTGCATTCTAGATAGTTTTCAACGTGCCCTACACACATAGTTGCACAACGCTGGCAGTTTAAAGAGCACACCTGTCTGTGCTCCGCCTGTGCCGCAGACAACCCCAATACTTGCCTGTGCTTGGAGGCTGTGATTCCCACTGGCTGCCTTGCCGAACACGAGCAGGTGCCGACACCAACAAACACAAGGACTGTTTAGACCTGCGCCGACACCTACGCAGCGTGCCTCGTCAGCAGTCGCACCGATAGTAGGCCGCCGTCGAGGCGAGATGTCAGCAACTGGCACTTCCACAAATGAATGAACTGCAGGAGGCGGCAGCAGCAGCAGCAGCAGCAGCAGCAGCAGCGCAGCAGCAGCAACCGCAACCGCAACCACAACCACAACCACAACCACAACAACCACAACCACGACCACAACCACAACAACATCCACTGGACCACCACAACCACAACCACAAATACAAGAAGGAGAAGAACAAGAACAACGACGACGACAGCGACGGCACTTGCCATGACATGATTAGAAGGAGCAATTAGAGTAGTAGTTGCAAGATTTACTACATCAACAGAGAGATTAAGAGGGAAATCAATATGGGCACAAGCAGCAGGACGAGGAGCAGTCGTCCGGTATCCTGCCTGTGTTGCTCATAGAGCTGGCACAGGACGCCTGCTCGGCAGCCCATCCACGCCACACTCTCCGCGGACTGAGAGTGGTGGCCTCCATTCGGTCCACGGCTTCGGCGCTCTGTCCGGCAAGGACGGCCTCGGCTTGCAGAACAATGTGCTGCGGACACCTCCTTGGGTTCGCTGGGAGGAACTTCAGCCGAAGTGCCGACGCCCGTGCCTTGCGAAGCTCCGAGTACCGTGGCCGGGAGGAAGCACGGCTCGAGGAGTCGAACGCAACTTGCGCCGCTTCTGCTGTCGTCTGTGCTGTCTGAAATGTCTGGACACCTCGACATTCGGTGGCACAATGAGTAGCGGCGTGGCGCATCAGATGCTGACCCACCGCATGAGGACCCGACTTGCCACACTATGGCTCCTGCAAAATCCATGTGTCGCTTGGTAGGTGTTGCAAGCAAGTTGTGCGACCCGTATGTCTTTTAGTGAATGTTCTGAAACAAGCGATGAGACGACTGTTCGAACTGTCAGTCCTAGACAGCGCAGCCGGTTCATCAACGCCAGCATCAGCGGTGCCTGACGAAACTCCATGCTGCTTGTCATGTGTACCGGGGAACCGTGATACGATCGACGAAGAGGCTTGGCCCGCCACGGCTGGAGTCTGCTGTCTGAGAATTCCCTACCCGTCTCGGACCACACATGCTCCTCATAGCTTCATGGCATTCATCTTCTCAAAACGGTAGGATCTGTCACGGAAGCAAGGTCTCAATCCTCCGGACTTCCGAGTATCGCGGCCGCCGCTGTGCTGCAGCGGGCAGGGCACTCGATACCTGCTGCCCGATGCCATCGATTTTCTCAAGCCGTTCTTGACTAGCATAGCATGTCGAAGCTTACACTGCCTATGGCCAAGAGTGGGCTGCCTCTGGTCTCGCTTCGACCTTGGAAGGAGGGGGCGGCAGCCTCAGCCACGCCCAACCACAGAAGCCGATTTGTAGACCACCCTCTTCCCCCAGAGTGCATTTCGAAGGGTTCTCGCTCTACGGCAGCATTCAGGTCTAGATGTGTGGACTTCGAAATAAGCATGAGTCCTAAACTAAACTTTAACCATGAAAGCCCCGAACTGCAAACCACAAATCCGGGCAGTCACAGTCTCAACGTGTAACGGCTCCTGTTCTTCTGGACGTGCTCCGACTACATTCCCTTGAATCTACTACAACCGCCTGCACATGACTGCCATTGGGAATCCAACAGTGCTGAACATGATGTCTACCTGCCCTATGATTTGGATGATGGTGATGATGGTGATGATGCCGGTAATGATGATGATGATGATGCACTATGGTTCTTATGGTGAATCTTTGGGATAAACTCATACGAGGACGTGTCAGCTTGTGCTCTTGTGGCTGCTGTTTGTCATCTTGTCCAAGCCACGAGAAGCGAGGCCTCTGGTCGTCTGAACCCAGGACGCCGAGCCTCGGAAGCACGAAACTCAGCTAACGCTGACAGCACTCATACCAAGTACTTGGAGGAGTAGGTGATGTGTCTTCGCGGTCACAGCTGGAGCCGGGATGTGCGCTCTTCGCACAGCTGCGTAGTGCGCCCACAGCCCCAGGATTCGCCATGCACGCCCGGTCACAGCATGATGCTGGTCGTGGTGGCGGCGCTGCTGGCGGTGCTGGCGGCGGCGGCGGCGGTGGTGGTGGTTCTGGTGGTCGCCCATGGTGACCAAGAGAAGTCTATATTCCCGATGACTTAGAAACTCAGCAACATGGCTTGTCCAAGTGCAGGTTTGTCATCAGAAACTTTCTGGAAGAACGACTGGACACGGAAGCTCAGCGCCGAAGATGGCATCCCCTCTCCTGAATTCAGCTGAAAGGCTGAAAGTGGCCATCTTTGCCTGTGCTGTAGTACCTTTCCGCTTTGTCGACACCTTAGTTTATCAAAGGCGCGGCATGCCATGACAAGCCGTCAGAATCTGACCAGTACATCCCGGAACCCTCATTGATTTCGGCCCGTGGCTGTCGTGTTGAACTTTCACTCGGCCACCATCACAGCGCACTTCCACAATCGTTCCAGTTGGCTCCACGAGCTCCAAGCTTGGATCCACCACGACGACTCGAGATCCAACCTGAACTGCATAAAAAATCTGCAGCCTGGAGACGCCTATCCCTCCCCTATTTGCTTAAGCCGGCAACAGTGGCATGAACATCGCGGCCGATGATGCCTTGGATGCCAAGAGCATCGTGCTGTCGGCTGAGCCCCTTTCTGGGCCCCCATGCTCCGAAAACCCCCATCAAACCTAATTGCGGCCTCTGATTACCTAGCCGTTTTGCTCGTACTTCTGTGACATGCCCTTCATTGAGAGACAGGCAACTCGTACCGAAACTCTTGGCAATACCGTGCACTCTGGAAGTCTTACCAATGAGGTCACGGCCAACGCCACTCGAAAGCCTGGCGGCCTGCACAGGCTGCAGGTTCTCAGCCACTGCTGAGCCACTATGCATTCCATGGTGTCATGACATGGTCAAAAGGTACCAGGTCATGAAATCTCTTGCGCACAGCCCCTTACCTGGGAGAAGTGTGACGCGGCTGTTCTCCTCGGATATTTTCACACCGAGAAATGTATCAAGAGTCCTCTCTTGACAATTCGCCAGCACAAGTCAGAAGCGCTGTCAAGCCGCTCGCTCATGCCACCGTCGAACCATTCACTGCCACTGACATCATCATCCGCTCCCTCAACGCATGACATCTGAAACGCAAGGCATCGTTCGCGTTCATTCTGAGGCGAGCGCAAGCAAGCTGCGAATCTGAGTCTGGGCCGCACGAACCTGGCCGAAGACAGTCTTGACGTGTCTGACCGGAGCCGTGGTCAACAAAACTTGTGTGTGATCGGCAGATGTCCACTACCTATTTCTGCAGTCCGTAGATTTAAGCCAGTTTGGGAAAGGCACATCATCCATGAAGGCATCGCCGGCCCCAAATGCTGCCATGGCAACGGCTACGGTAAGCTAAACCGCTTCTTACCCGGTCTTGTGCCTCTAATCTTCGGCTCAGCATAGCACCCTGTACCGGCCCAAAGAGTTCATGGACAACTTAGCGACATGAAGTGAGCGAGCATGTGCTTCTGGGTCTGACACACAGCAACTATACTGGAACTATCACCTTGAGGCAGCCACGGAATTGCATGCAGAGTGCAGCGCTACGCAGCACAGACTGATTGAAACTAACGCAGCAAGTGGAGTCATGAAGTGCTGCAACGGACAGAAGACCTCTGCAAAAAACACGACCAAAGCAGCTTGGACTCCCCACATCAGGCCATCGTCCCTGATGTTCAGCGTGGCGAAGGACCATGCCTGGGATCGAATACCAGCAGCCCAGTCCTAGTCGCTCCGCAAACCCCCGAGCTTCCAGCCGTATTAGCAATGCCCTGTGGCGGCATTTCGGCAGCTCGCTGCTGCACACATCGTGAGATTGCCGCCATCATGTCGGGCCTCCCCCCGATCTCCCGCACTCTTGCAAGTGCCGGCATCAAGAATGCACGGTCAGTGGACCTGGCCTTTTGATCTGCAGTTTTGCAAATGCCCAGGCGGTGTTGCTGATGTTCCTGTAAAACACAGTTCATTGTCACGAAAACGTGGTCCCATGTAGAGCCATGCTGCCAGGTGTCTGCTGGGCAAACTCGCCACACTGGGCAGCCACAACCTGTGACGCCGACTCGGGAGACAACTGGGACGAAAGGAAATCTGCTGGGCTCCCAACATCGGCATCATGACCACCCCGTCTTCTACAACAGCCCAAACATAAGCCTAGCACCACCAAGTGAAGCCCCAGATGAAAAACATAAACCAGATTCCCCCCCCCCTCCCTCCTCTGCCGATTCCCTGGCCTCCAGCCTGACATGTTATTCAAGCCACTGCCTCGGGCACCTTTACTTCAACAGACTCGACGAGTCTTCCACGAGTCCAACATGCAGCAACCCACAAGATTCCATCAGGAACCAAACTGTGAGGCAATCGTCCGACGCTCCTGCAGAACCAGAATGGACTAGAACGGACCTATGGACCAGGACATGGAGCATCTGCATTTGCGTCCATATCTTGTGGCATCTGGACCTACTTAGACGATCACTACGTATCTTTCTGTACAGCCACCACTGATGTTTGAGCAGTCGCAAAGAAGGGCGGGGCTAAGCTGGGGCAGGACAGGACAGCACAGGACAGGGCAGCTGAAGCGGCAGAAGCAAGACACCCCTATCCGCCTGCACTCCACATCTTCGGAATGATTTTGGGCGTAAAGTGCAGACAAACTGCTAGTAGGGGAGGCTCTGCCGAAGAAACAACTACTTTAGCTGTTTTCGAGCTTGCAAGCACGGAGAAGCCCCAATAACATGTGAGCAGTCTCCGCCTTTGCCACAGACTCGAAGAAGCGGTCGTCCGCGACCCGAAGTGTGGCCAGGGCCCAGCTGGTGTTGGCTAAGTTCTGGCCTCCAAATGCCCAACAGACTGAGCACGAAGAAAAACTGAAACCACCTATGGATGCCCCCCCCAAACTGACATGTCGGGCAGTCGACCGTTCATTTCCGGAATGGCACTTTGGCACTCCTGGACTAGCCTTAGCAAAGCAACCGCAGCTGCCACTTTGCCACGGTTCATGCCCACCGAGACCCACGCTCGCGCAACAGCCACTCTTCTCGCACCTGCACGGTATATCGGAGGAGAGGCACCTCTCTATCCTCTCTCCGACAAGGCATATAGCGGCACATGGGCAGCAGGCTTTCACGCTCTGCGGCTTTTCTGTGGCCTGGAGCTTTGCCACGGCCCAGCAAAGGTTGGCGCGGCCCAGCGGAGCCAGGGAGGAGACGCGGCCACGCAGCCCCCCCGCCATGTCCGACAGAGGCCTACGACGCTACGACGGGAGTCAATCGCAAGACCTCTTTGAAGCCTGGAAAGGGCACTGATGCCAGTGCCAAGCGGCGCGTCGCTCCGCAGGGTGGCATAGGACCACCTCGAGCCCAAGACCATCCTTTGGATTGAGAACTTGAGATATTCTGAGGGCCCACATCATGTTCACCAGCCTCAGCTTCCAATTCACCGGGTGAAGGGAGCAATCTTCCGTTGCAGCCAGAGTCACTGTTGTGGCTCAAACTCTGGCAGCTTCTGCAGCGCCTCATCCGTGACCTGACGAGTCAGGCAACCTCGAAGGCCCCCCCAATCCAAAGACAACACATCTTGCCTTGGCAACTAGCTTGTGTAGCCGCAGGTCCAGCTTCGCCATAGCCCAAACGATCTTGGACCTGGAGTTGGCTTTATGCTTTCGCAAGGTCTCTGTGATTGAAACGGATCGAATCTCAACGCAACCTCGGAGTGCCCCAGAGCGCACAAGCGTCTGCAGGTCACACTCTGCGAATCTAAAAGCAGCGCCGGGTGGCATGGTCTGTGGCTTTTTCAGCTTGTCCCACTTCACCAGCTCGCCTAGCACACTACATCGGTCCAACCTTGCCGTCAGCTGCTTTACATCCTGCCCACCGAATGCCAAACCGAGGAACGCGTGGCTTTCGAGGCCAATGCGCGCAGCCGTTCATCGCCCTTCACCTCATGGAGCCGCTTGGGCTTCATTGGGATACTAACTCTCACTATAGTTCACGCTTTACTCTTATGTCTGTTTGTCGAGCTGACCTTCCTTGACTACGCCGTTCTCCGTAAACCCAGGACGATGGATTGAGGCTACTCTCCACATGCCTTCTCGTAGTGATTACGGCTGAAGCTGTGTCAGGATTATTATGTCCACAGCGCGTCGGAGGAGCAAAAGCTAGTGAGGACAACTACCTTTCACGCACATTCCTTAAATGACCGGCTTCCGAACTTCTGCGATCGACTCTTTGGCCAACAGCCTGGTGATGGTCATCAGCCTTTGCGATCCGATGGAGTGCTGCAGACCTCATGTGATTTACGCGGCCAAGGTGACAATCTAGCAGCCCGAGGCTGCAACTCAAAGAAGTGTAAACATGCATGTGCATGTGCATCTATAGATAAACAAATAGTCTTAGGTAGGTAAATAGATAAATAGGTACAGAAATAAAAAAAGAAAGAAAAAAGATGTACAGGCCGGACCACACTCAACATATGCATATTTGCATGTCTACATGTTCGCGTACATGCATGAGTTCACGCATGCGTACACACATATATAAACTCATTTGCACACCCATGTCACTTGGATTGAGCTACAACATGTGCAAGATAACCCAGGTCGGACAAGTTCTGGGAAGGCAGCAGACGATAGTCTGGCAAGGCATAAAAAGATACCACTCGTCAAGTTCAGAAGTGGTGAGAGATGGTTCCAGCGGACATGGCATGATGAGACTGGCGAGAACGAGGTCGGTAACAGGAGTTTGGCCTGCTTGTACTCCACGAGGCTCGATGAAATGCAGATAACGGGGGAAAACCGCATGTACGCTGAGTTCAAAACACATCAATGGACATGCATGACATCAGATCCCAAGGGATTGCTATAACAGTATCGAGTAAAATGGGCCTCTGCATGCAATGCCAAGCCATGGCTTTTCCAACCTCTTTCACCGCCACACAGGCTAGGACCTGCCCAGCTACGCCAGCTTTCAATTCCAGTCTGTCCTCCCGCTTCCAGGTCCATGTGCTGTGGAAGATGCCCGTCACTCGCGGCTGAGAGCTCGGGGTAGGTGGAAGAACACTTTCCACTTGGTGATGTCGGTGCAGTACGGGATGTGCTGACTCCAGCTGGTAGTTGCACAGGTCTTTGTCCGCCCGGTTGCACATGTCCTTCATCCAGGTTGCAAGCGGCCAGCAAGCATCCCTGCAGAGCACCCAGGCCAGTGCTGGCTCTCAGGACGCATCTTTGGCGAAACCTTTGTGAGCGGCCATGAAGTTCCTGCAGCTCGGCCATGTCATGCGAACAAATGAATTGAAAGCACTCGCCCGGCAAACGTTGCAGAGCAAATCTTGCGACCAAGATTCTCAAGCATCGCCTTAGACACATGCACCATGCTTCAGACGACATATCGCAACAGCTGAAACTGCGCCGCCTCGCAGCGGTGCTGCGCATCGATGCCGACCTGTGGACATGCGGACATGTTGTCTCTACCCGTCATGGACATAAACTGACCACTGCAGCCTCGTAAGATACAGTCGCACAGCCGGAAGCCCCTCCCTATTGGAGTCTCTACCGCCCCGACAGAAACCCTTGTCTCCTGCCTGGCGCAAGTGCAGGGCTGCGTTTGTGAGGCACAGCCGATGGGCATCCTGAGCCGTCTGGGGCATATCTTCGAAGAACTCGCCAGAACCATTGCGGCTGCCTCCGTGCTCAGGCGCCCCTTGGCAAGCTCTCGCATCGAAGAGCTGCTGTATGTGTCCTTGGGCCGTGGGCCGCCCCGAAAGCTTGAAATAAACTCGCGTCCCATCCGAGCGGCAGTGTCGTCGGGAACCTCGAAAGCAAGAGCTGGCTGGCAAGTTTCAAGGCCCATGCCAGCTCTCTCTCCGTGAATCCCAGCAGCCAGCCGCGGCAATGCACTGACCGGGCTTGGATTCGATCCACAGCTCACACCTTTCCCAGAGGGAGAAAGTGCCGCCAACTGGTTTGGTCAGTTTCCGGTGAGCTCCCCAGGCCCCTGGCCGAATTTCTTCCTTGCAGCTTCTGCCAGGGGCTCACAGCACACCTCATCTGGCAGCTCATTGAGGGCTCAAGCAGATCCCCCACAAAAAGCCCCCTTTAGAGCCTCTCCAGGTCTTGGGCGGCTCTCCTTGCAATGCCGCAAGCCACAGCCGCATGGCAGATCCCATGCCGGTGCGCCTAAAGGGGCCCAAGGCAAAGGCTGCAAGCTCCGCTGCTCGGGCGCTCCAGGCCTGGGCCTAAAGCTTCGAACTTCTCCGCCCATCCGAAGTAGGCTTCGCAGCACATGAACGGCAACACGCCGCACTCCTTGGCTGCCAGCATGTTGGGTTCAAAGTGGCCCCCTTTTCACGCAACGTTCAGTCCAAGTTGCCGCTTGCGCGCTCCCGTCGCAGTCTGAGAGGCCCTCGGGCGAGACTTGCAAAGCGCCTGGGCCAGACGATGCTTTCCGCGGTGTTGTGGTGGAGTTGCTTGGCCCCTGCCTGCTGTGGGGACAAGGAAGGCATCTCCTTACTGCCAGCGCGTGTCAGCCGAAGACTCTCATACACCCGCTCTCTCAGTTCGCGCCCAAGAAACTGCAAGCATAGGTGGTGGCAGGCCATGCCCTCCAGGCGCATGGCAAGGAGTCCAGGGCTTCTCCACCTGACGTCGTTCACTCCTGACTTAGAGATCCGTAATCGATGAGTTCGCCGAGTTCGCTGCCCACTGCAGCCTTGAGAAGGTCGCGCAAAGCGCGGATTGGAACATCGGCACCTCAGCAGCTAGCCCCCTCTCTGCAGAACGCAGGGCCTGAAGCCTGAACCGAGCGGCCGAACTCCAGGACGGGTGCGACCTCCAAGTCCGCAGCTGCTCGTCCCCGGAGCTTTGACAAGGCATCCTTCACTTCCTCCAAGTGCCCCAGCCTGGAGCCAGAGCCCGAGCTTTTGGGATCTTTTGGCTACGGAGCTTCGGCGCCCCACCTGGCTCTCCCAAGGGCCCGGAAGCGCTCAAGCCTCGCGACACCAGACCTGACTGCCAAGAAAATCTCGTTGAACAGCGGCTCTGTGTGACCGCCGGGCTTGAGTGAAAAAAGTACACTTTCTTGTCGGCATTCTCGGCAAGGAATTCTGACAAGGGCGTGCATGTGGTTCGTAGTAGCCAGCTTCCGTCCGCAAAAGCATTCTGGGTCAGGGATGGGTCTCAAGTGAATATTTGGCATATGTCTTGCCAAGACATGTGATCTAGAACGCAGTGCCTGGGCGGGTCGAAACTACACCCAGGGCAATCATCAGGCAACGGCAAGACGCTGCTTTCAAACAACTCGCCTTCAAGCCCTGGACACGTTTCCCGAACTTGTCAGCTTGGGCTACCGGTGCCTGTGCCGGTGCCTCGTCTAGGCCTCCCTTGCAGAAGCAAGGACAATCTGGGGCCGGTGCTCTGCAGCAAACCGCAGCCACTCCCCCATGGCCAGCCCAGCACGCGAGAAGTAGTCGAAGGTGCAGCCCAGCTCCTGTCTGGGTTGTGACTGGGTCCACTTTTCAGCCTGGTCGCAAGGGCGAGTCCTCACCCCACGCGCTTCGCGGCCATGCATGGAACCCATAGGGCCCATAGGCTGGGCAGTTGCCTTGAGCTGCGACATAGGCCCAAAGTAACTGCACCATTCCAGTTCAGAGCAAGGTGCGGCAGTTCATGGTGTCTGGGAGTACAACTCGCCTTCGTAGCAACATCGCCACCTAGGCAGACGAGGAGCCAGCAAAGAGTGCTTGTCATAGCTTCTAAGTCTGTTATCCGTGGCTTCTGCGAGCTTCTTCCCGGCCTCCACGGCGGCTGCCAGATCTTCGAAGTCCTCTGTCAAAGTAGAGCCTCTCAACTTTCCAAGTAGAAGGGGCCACAAAAGTCGCAGAAGGATGTCTTGGCGCCTCTTGCGTGGACGTAGGTAAAGAAGAGGGGGTGCTCACCAAAGCGCTCCGCGAAGTCGTCCAAATACCAGAGGCCCCTGTCTCCTAAAATTGATTTCGCAGCAACGACTACTCAGCTCAGCTTACCTTGGATTGGTATGCTGTACGCTGCTTGGTGGTGCCGGCTTTGCTCTTACAAGTGCAGCGCGGGTGTCGCAAGAAGTAATCTTTGGGCTCCACACCGTTTGCATGCACCTCGACGGCACGGTGGCGACTTCCACGTAAACGCAGTTAAAAAAAGCAAGGATCGAGCCATACTGCGCGAAATGACCAGGTGTCAAGAAGAACCGACGTCAAGATTGGTCAAGAGCCCGGTCACTAGCCACTGGCCCTGCAACTTCGACGACCCGTCAATCATCCAGGCCAAGCGACAGCAGCGACTTCCTGCAGCAGAATATATACAACGGTGGCCTACTCTCTGGCTCGGCGGCTTTGCAGGGGACATTTCCGCAGAGAGGCGAAGCCCTGAAGCGGCGGGAGAAGATGCGCCCGGCGCCAGAAGTAGTTCATGCCGTGAGCGATGACCTTAAAAAAAAGAGCGACAACGGCCAAGGCCAAGTCGAGAGAAGTTGCCAAGGATGCCAAGGTCAGGACTGCAGGATCCAGCACGCGGATCGTCAAGTCGGACTCGCCGCAGGTCCGCGATTGCGATGGATCCGTCGCGGGAACGCCTCCCACGTTTGTCCAATTGCCAGGTCCGGGTCGCAAGGAACACCAGGACTCGGCTTCATAGAGAACCTGGCGCCAGGGGACACAACGCTGAACTCTCCAGACAGCCTTCAAACGCGTTCAACGCATTCCCCGCCTTGGCAGCACCTGCATCGACCCACTCCAACACCAGCCTCGGAGCCGCAAACACCCTCAAGTTTAGCTGCAGCTCTCGCACTCAGCTGAGACGCTTGTTGAAAGCGCGTTGATTGAACCAGTCCCGCTTGAAGCCTTGCCAGATAAGCGCATCGAAGGAGTCCAGAAATGCGATTATGAGCCTCGTCTCCGGACAGGTGCACATGCATTCCACCGAATGTCATCAGTTGCCGCTTTATACCCGGCGCACGCTTGCAAACAAGACTCTGCAGCGCTGCATTATTGCTCTTGTGAAAGACCTTCGCAACGAGGCATGAGTGGCAGCCACGTTTGAGTTCCACTGGCCCATGACAGGTTGAACCCGTTAAGCAGATCTGCGAAACCAGTGTTGATGTTGTCTTCTGGCCGCAATGTGGTTGACAGCAGCTGCGACTCTGGAAAGAAAAGATCTGTCATGACCTGCGGGGATGGTGGCTTTCTGCTCCCACGACGTAGGTGACGAAATGCACAAACCTCGAAGTCCGCGTCAAGTCGGAGATGCTTGAAGGGGTCAGAGAGGAGCACCACGTCTGTGTCGAGCACCAGGGCCGACACGCCTAGGGGGATGTCGCGGAGCTTCTCTGCCACCGGACTGACGGCCCGGCCTAGAGAAATCAGCGAAGCCATCAGGCGATACCTCAAGCCCGGACTGCAGTTTACTCAAGTTCGCCACGCCAGACTTGAATGCCGACGACAGGCTTGAATTTCCAAAGGTCCTGAGTTGCAGTCCCCTGCAATCATGCTCCTGCATGAGATTCTCGAGCTTACACGCCATCGAAGCCAGCTGAGGAGCATCATTCTGCCAGGGGTTCTTAACGGCATCATCGTCTGTAGGACCTTGAAGAAGAACCTCAGAGAGCACTGGACCCGCAACCGCAGGCCGCGCGGTCGTGATCAGTGCGAGAAAGGCGCGGCAAAGAATCCCCTGGCTGTGAGGAGCTGTTGAGCATCCCCATCCAGACAAACAACTGCCTGCAGAAGCACGTCACATCACGGAATCACGGTCGCAAGTTCCGATTCAGGAATTGCTGGGGTCGTGACGAGTGAGGCCTCGAGCTCCGGCACCTTCGGTGCAGCTCATGTAGTTCTAGCGACTCGGTTGGGGTCGAACTTTGGCTGCTGGACATTCTGGCGGACGGAGAGGGCGAGATTGACCGCAAGATTGGCGAAAGCGCCCGTGGTCCATGTGACGATCAGGTGCTGGTTGGGCGCGGCTAGTGCTGCCTCGATTTCGTGTCGCTTTCGAAGTCTTCGGATTGCAATCTGCCCTGCCTCGCGAAGCGGCCGAAGGCTCCGCAAGGGCAGTAGGCGTGCCCGCTGGCCGAGGCCTGCATTGCCTGGGCCTGGCTCGATACATCCATGCCTTTCCTCCCCAAAATTTCTAACTCTTACGAAAGCTCTCCGGCCGTCTGGGCTGAAGGGCAGCACATCCTCTGGCCAAGAACCTGCGAAAGGATGAAAACCTCTTGCTCCCGTCCGCCTCTGTGGCTCTCCCAGCCTCCTCGCATCTCTGCAGACTGGAGCGCCGCATGCCGCAGCTGCACCCACTCGGACACGAGTTCTGTAATGGCGAGCTTGGACATGGGCTCAGCATGTGCTCTCGACCGCACGGCTCTCCTGCCACAGCGCGTCCTTCCAAAGCCGCCATAGCCTTCAAGCGCTGACCTGCCACGCGAAGTTCAGAGAGAGTCTCAGCTGGTGAAGCCTCCTTGCGGGTTAGTCATCCCTGCCTGCACCTGGTGCAGCCGCCGCTGCATCGAGGATGGCGAAACTGCCAAGCCAAGACAACACAAGCTCCAGGGAGCACCATGCCCTGGTACAATGGAGCACGACGACGAAGCACCGGTCACCGGTCTTCTCCTACCCGCCGCCTGCATATGGTTTCGAGGAAGCGCCCCATGCTGCCCATGCCAGGCCGACATGATCGCTGCGCAAGACAAAGCACACTGCTTTGCTGGCTACTTAACTCTCGCAGGTCACGAGAGCCCTTCAAGTGTCACTGGGTCCGAGAGCTCTTTAAGTGTCACTCGGTCCTACCTGGAACCACGCTGGAAGACCATCTGTCTTTGTGCGGCTGAGGATGCACCAAAGGCACAACGAAGTCTTTAAGCGAGCCTGCACACGAAAGAAGCATCATTCCAGCTGAAAATGCAGCACTGCAGGACACAAAGCAAGAGAATAGGTCGCTGTGCTCTGGGAACCTGGGGAGGGAGCGCATGGAACACTGCAAACTCGTTGACGAACTCGCCGGCTAGATCCAACAAGTCGTGGGCACCTTCTCACCAACTGAGTGGCCCCTGCCGGCATCAAGGACACAGTGGAGGGAGCACTGAAAGGAGCTTGGGTCGGCACTCTTTAGCTCCATGATCTGCGCATGGACCTGCCAAGCCAAGCAGCTGGGGACAAACCTGAGGGCCACGGGTCTTCCGAAGTTGTCCTCTTTTCTTCGGGTCAAGCACGATTTTCAGTTTCTCCATGGCTCATTCTGAGCCCGGTTCAAGATTTCTGGCGCAAGGACCGCAGCTCTCAGGCCATGCTCGCCAACACTTCCTCCAGGGCCGCCTTGACCGCGGCCTAAAGGCGAGGGCCGAGGTTTAGACTTCAGAAGGACTAAGGACAACACAAAAAAGACATATAAAGACCTTTAGATTCAATCCGAGACTTGGACATCATCGGGCTTTTCCATGGCTTTCACCTTGTCGTTGGCCTTGCCGCCCATCTGAAGAGCAGCCTCGCCAGACTGCACAGCGCAACATGTTGAAGCTTTGACAGCATCGCGATGCACCTGCCGCATTCCAATAATCACTGGGTCATCCAAAACCAGCTCGAATCGGTTCGGAGTGCGGATGTGGTTCAACGTCTGCTCCCGCCCTTCCAGCAGCCTGTCTTCAAGAGCATTAGGCTGACTGCGGCTGGCTGCGGGGCTGAGACAGGCTTACTGGGTAAGGCTAATTACCACAGATTGCCGCAGACTTGTTCTGCTAGGTCCGAGAGGCACGTTCGTGCCCCCTGCTGCCATCAACTCCAATGCTTTCTGCACGAAGTTGACAACTTCTCCCTGCGTGACCTCTGCAACCGTTGGGATGTTCTTTCCCACCTTGGACTCCTTAAGCACCGTCTTCTCGACTTCGGAGACAAAGTACTTGCAGCCCAAACCTTCAATTTTGACATCCCACTTGTCATTGAACCTTCCGAACTCCAGCATGCCGCAGAAAGTCGCGAGGTCAGATGGAGTCAACACATCTTTGAGCTCACAGCCCTTCTGCTCAGCATGGGTCACTGCCAAGAGCGTGATAGACCGGAAGAGGTTGCCGTTACCTCGGCTCGCAAGTCAGCCACAAGGCTTCAAGCTCAAAGCAAGGGAGAAGAAGAAACGGAGACTTGTACTCCCTAAACCCTAAACCCTGAGAACCCTAAACCCTAAACCCTAAGAACCCTACACCCTAAACCCTAAACCAACTACAAGAAGCTCCAGGTCTGGGCGTTCGGCAGCTTCTCCCTGAGCTTGTCGACGGTCGTGCCTTTGCCCGTGCCCGAAAGGCCCTGCAGTGTCATGACGCAGCCCTTGGAGGGAGCATCGCCAAGGGCTGCAATGATTTCGTCGGCCACTTGGTCTGCAGTCTTCCCTGAGACGCTAATCTTCGTGATCGGCTCCATTTTTACGTCAGCTGGCAGGACTTTCTTGTCTACTGCAAGCTGAATTCCCTTCGCCAGCTTGTCCCCATCTTCCTGGTCTCGCTGCATGATCTCTTTCATCAACCGCTCCGAGACCTGCTGGAAGGCGGCATCGCTCTTGAACTCGTCGATGATTGCAGCTGAGGTTACGCTGTTCTGGAGAGCGAGGGTCTCCGGCGATATGCCCATGGCTCGGGAGATATCTCGTATCTACTACAAGCTTCTGAAACGGCTGCCAACGACCACATCATAGAAGCCCGAAACACTGAAGGGGCAAGCATATCACTGCCCCAGGAAGTCGGCTTTTCCAGACACCGTGCTTCTGTACACTTCATCCTTGAATGAATTGCACGATGTGCTCCTGCACATGGTCTGGAAGAACTACCCCGCTCAGCAGCAAAGAATACAAAAAGCGGTTTGTCCAGAGGAGCAGCGTGTCCGACTCCACCTTGCGAAGAAGCTTGCTGCTGGGCGCGAATTTTCCCAGCCGAGCTCCTCTTGCAAGCATGACCTTGATGCAGCGCTTGTGCTCTTCGGTCAACACGAAACCAGGATACCGCCTGTCAAAGATATCATGGCCTTGGAGCTGGACTTGCGGGCCTCTGCAGAGGACTAAGCGTAGAGCCTCAACCTGTCCAGACATCGCTGCTGCTCTGGCTTCATCAATGGTGAACTCGACAGCTGGGTGTTTCGAAAGCACTTCCTCAATCGCTTGAGCAGCACCATCCCGCGCAAGAGAATCTCGGCAGGCTGCTCGGGGGTCAAAGGCTTCATCTTGCTTCGAATCCTGCTGAGATTCTGCCTCGTCGACCTTGCAACCCACATCTTCTGCTGCAGCCGGCATCTTGTCTGTCAATGAGGCGTACGCAGCATCCAGGATCTTGTGCAGTGACCGTGCATAGGGCAGCCACGCAGGGTCCGGTGTTCGCGTGTTGTTCGTGTCAAAGTGCCAACCGGTCTGCCCCCGGAGAGTGACCAAACGCTCCGTGCCAGTTCTGAGGTTGCGCTGCCGCATTTTCGAGACGTCCACTTGATACGTCTCGCCGTTCTGAGCTGTGAAACGAACATAGCAGCCTTCTTGAAATACTTCTCCCATAGGTGCTCTTGCCGTCGGATATCTGCCGAACCTCTTCTGACCTCTCTTTCTCGAAGCGTCTTGGCAGACAGATCCCATGGCTTCCATAGCAGCAGGTGCCATTTCAAGCAATGCACCAGGGAAGAAAGGCTGCGGTGCTGAGCCAGACCCGTGGTAAATTCCTAGCAGAGGATCTGAACTCTAAACTGCCCAAGTCCAACCTAGCTTGAAAGCAGGCCGGCTCCACGTCAACCTCAGTGCCATCGAATCTGATCCATTTCTTCTCAGAGTAGGGAACCGAGTCTGTCCTGTGCGCAGGGAGAAGAACTCCGAAGATCAGAGGAAGGCTCTACGGTGCCATGTGCCAACCACGTCATATCAGTAGCGACCAGCTAGCATGGCTTGAACCAGCGTCGGAGTACCTATGAACCTCCAAGCACCTGGAGTCTCAATAGAGGCATCTGCCAGCATAGCAGAGCCTGGGAGGGCGTTCGCGCTCGATGCTCCGAGCCCGTGCTTTCCCTGCCGGGAGAATGACAAAGCACGGCACGAAGACTCACAACAAAAATGTCGAACCTTTGTGATGATAGAGGTAGGTGTGTGTGTGGGTATGCATGCGATAACCCCTCTCCGAATAAAAAGGTCACCCCACTATTCTGCCAGCGGAGATCCCAATAGTGAAAGATCACAGCAGAATCATGCTGTAAAAGCGCATTTCGAGAAATTTGTGCTCACACTCCTGAGCTTGCGAGATCCAGAGGAACGCCCCGAATCGCTTCTTGCAAACACCCAATGCAAGGTACCACACTGTTTGGGAAAGAATCATCATACGGTGTAAGCCGTGTGCGAGGGGAACCGGGGTCGATCCAACTAGTCTGTGCCTGAAGACTTCCCTTTGCCTTTGGAGTCTCTCGACTCTCTCTGGCCTTGTCCTGAAGCAAAGAGGCACGGCTAGAAACTGCAACTACCTGCACAGGAGAGGTCCTTTGGAGCTCACGCCCTTCCCACCGGGAGACCAGGTGCTGGCAGCCTCAGGGGAGGAATTTATAGGGAGAGTAGATGCAAGTGCTCCAAGCACATGCTCGGTCGCTGTGAGCGCCGCGAGGCCGATTCGACCGCCACTGCCTTGCCAGGATTTCGCAAGGCTCCCCGAAGCATTTTCCGAACCCGGTCCTATCCGAACCCACAGCTCGGGCACCCACTTGCACTTCGCCTTATGCTGCTCTGAGAGCCTGCAGACTCACGACAACGGCTTCCTCTTGTGAACCCTGCCTCCATTTCAACACCTGGCGTACCTATGTTAAATGCTTACGAGTAGATAAGAAAATACAGAACAGACATACATGCATGCATACATACAAACATACAAAAATACAAACATACAAACATATACATATACATATACATATACATATACATATACATATACAAATACATAGACATAGACATAGACATAGACATGTAAGTACATGTGCGAATACATGTATATATACAGTTCATCGTATGTATTTCAGTTGTGTGGGTAGACGAGATTACATGTACAGTACAGCATTTGAAAAGAAGCCCGCAGCTGCCAGCTGCCTCGTGACGTCCCCGAACCTGGTCGCTCATCCTGTTGACCAGCGCGAATCGGTGTGCCTGGGCGAGATGAATCGAATATAATATAATACAATGTAACATAATATACTATATTATAATATTTCGACTGCAATTGGTAGAGCCGGCTAGGCGTTGCACTTGACGGGGCCCTGCTCGGCATGCTAGGAGAGCAGAACGCGGCGTTGCCTCAGGTGCTCTAACACTCGGGGCCAAGAACCCACACAACCCAACGAAAGTTAACAACTTCCTGTTGTATCAAGCCTGCAAGCTTAAACCCTTGAGTGAAACACTGGATTCCTACAATTGACAATCCTGAAACCCTAGACCTTGAGCCATCTAAGCTTAGACTTCAAGCTGCTCCTACGTCCAAACCCTGAAACCCGAAACGTTCACCCAGCACCTCGGAACCGAAGCCACAAACCTTACACAAATGCCAAACCCGAAACAAACCTTGAAGTTAAAACCATGAGTCTTAAATCGCGCTTGAACTCTTCAGAAACCCTGGACTTAAACCCATGTTAACCCTAACGCTGGCCCTTCTTCAGTCTCAACCCTGAACCGTAAACCCTAAGCTCGCGGTTCCTGAAGATCAAGCACAAAAGCAGTCCAAAAAAGAAACCTTGACCCCGGTTTAGGTTTAAGGTTTAGGGTTTAGGCTCTAGGGTTTAGGGTTCCCTGCTGTCCTGGACCCCAGAGGCTTCAAAACCGTTCCTCGACCCTCAACCCGAAATCGTGCCCTAAGCACTTCCCAAACCTAACCCTGTGTGGGCAAACGCTGGAAGAAGCCGTAATCTAAACGCCTGCTGCACGGATCGCTCATGAGGCGTGACTCTGACCGCGTGCGACCCGAAATGCCCAGCCGTTCTTACAGCTCTGAACACTGGGCCGATCCCAACCCCGACATATTGAACCGGTCCGAAACCGTACACCGTTCCGACACAACCAATCTGAAACCCCCAGAAAAAATTCCGCGCTCGAAACCCCAAACTGTTCCGCAACCTAGACCGTGCCGAACCCCAAACCCCTGAAACACATAGCCATAACCCTTCCTAAACTCTTTATAAACCGTAAACCCTGAACTTAAACCGTTCCGAACAACAGGCCTGCAACACCATAAACCTGCAAGCCCTAAACCCAAAACCGGCCTTGAACCCGAAAGCGAGTCCTAATCCCTGAACCCTCTAAACCCTAAATTGTTCCAGAACCCAAACCCTAAATAGTGATACAATAACTAGACTTTTAACCATATTCAATAATAGCGCAAACAATACGAATCAGTTTCTAATCATACTAATCATCATCAGAGCAAAATAATGATCACAAGAACCATAACAATACTAAAACAAAAACAGTAATAATAGTAAAAATGCAAATGCAAATAATAAACCCGTCGTCGTCGTTGTCGTAGTAGTAGCAGTAGTAGTAGCAGTAGCAGTAGGCGTAGCAGTAGCAGTAGCAGTATAGAGTAGCAGCAGCAGCAGCAGCAGCACCAGCAGCAGCAGCAGCAGCAGCAGCCGCAGCCGCAGCAGCAGCAGCAAGTAATAGTAGTTGTCGTCGGCATCGTCGTAGCAGCCGCGGCAGGAGTAGCAGCAGCTGGAGGAGGAGAAAAAATGGAGCAGGAGCAGTAGCTGATGGGTCGTTCTTGTTGCCTTTGACGTTTGCGTCGTCGTGCTTGCTGCTGCTGCTGCTGCTGCTGCTGACACTACGACCGCAGGCCCGGAATGCCATTTTGATTCCAAGTCACGCTCAATATCCACATTCTGCGCGGCGGAGACCGAAAGGAGGCCCCGGATGTGGGCGGGGGTCGGTGAGCTGTCCGTGAAGGAAAGTGATGTTGGCGACGGCAAGGCCTGCAGAATGGTGCGTGTCTGTGTTGGGCTCACGCCGAGGTCTCGAGTATGTGGCATGGGAAGTAGCTGCAGGCAAGGCACGATGGTATCCTGAATTTCGGAAGCCAGTGGGGCAGCCATCTCACCATTCGCATTGCCGGAATAGACGAGGAAGTGCGTTGCGCCAGAAGGTATCGTGGAGGGTGGGAACGCGGAAGTAAAGACACTCTGTGCTTCCTGCCATCAAGAGGCTTGCTGACACATTCGACCGACTCGACGACACTGTTTCACGGTACCCTGTACCCTCCGTACCAGCCTGCTGACCGCCTGTGTACGCCACGGTCCAGCCGTCGTATCTGACTGATGAATCCGTCATCCAAACAAGAGTGGCCCTGAGAAGCAAGGCTTCAGCATCATCACATGGCACTAAACTATATACAAGGGGCTAGAACTATTACCAATACTATTTTGGAGATCCTTCTTATAGCTATCGTAGAATATACCGCAAAGCCCCAATTCAAAATTATTAAGGCCGCTATATTACGTGCCATCCAGGAGCGTTTCAGAGAAGCTGCGCGCAACTCCCACGTCATTCCTTTGAGGCGAGGGGCGGCTTCAAGCACATACCATCTGGGTAGTTCTCTAAAATAGGGTCCCCTTTTTAGGTCCCCAATATAGTACGGCACCCTTATCATGATGACCCTAAACGGGACCCTAATTTAGAAAACTACCCATCTCTGCTTCGTGATAAATTGAGATCCCGCAGCCCCGTGCTGGATTACTGGCAACCAGGTGTCGTTCCAAAGCAATAGCCGTCCAGGCAAAGCGTGTCCCAACCTGCCTCTATGTCCAAGTATGTCCTGGTTCGGATGGCGATCACTCGCATACATCTAGTCTCAAACTGAGTGCCGGCAGATCGCTTGCCTCTCCCTTGCAGTCAAGTCACAGCGTCATGCCGCCGGGGCCTCAAACAAACCAGTGCATCCTCCCCTGCAAAACAGTACTTTACTGTGGCATGCATTCTGGGAAATACTGGCGGAATCTTGATCTCTGGGCCCCCCTCCACAGGGCTAAGCGCGCGTCCTTGAAGCTCTATGGACGCATACTCGTTGTTGTTGTATCTTCCTGTACGGCTGATAGTCCATCCATCAGCAGTGGATTCCATGACAATCCTTGGCCGCAGAAAGCGGGTAGGTCTTCGAAAAGTCTCAGATATCTCTGAAACCATGGGAAGAATGTGGCAACACCTGCAACCTGCAACAAAGAGGGCCTGCCACAATCGCCGTCGTTGGAGTCCGTGCACGTCGGCCGAGTACTTAAAGGGTCTGCTACAGCAGGGACCACGGCCTGGCTTTTTGAAACAACTGCGATGCTGTGCGATCGCGTGGACCGAGATGGACCGCTACAAATACAAAAGATCTCTTGTGCTCAAGCATGCCCTCACGTGTTTGCACAAGCCCGACCGGAAACCATAAAGCCTTCTTCGCTCCCGAACCTGCCCGCTAAACCCTAAACCTAAACCCCAAACGAGTTGGAGACACCACGGGCGAGGAAGACACAGGTGTGCTTGTGTCGGATCCCCAGTAGACCTGCATGCCACGGCATCACAGGAGTGTCATTATCACACAGACATGCCTACAAGGTAGCAACACTGTCTTGCTCGTCAGCACA